ATACAGTGTGTAACAAAAATAATTGGAAAATTATTGCAGTTGTTTAAATGCGTGTTTTGTACTCAATTTAAACCCAATTCGCGTCGCGTCACTTTCAAAACAAACACAAATAATAAATTTGTCTTTTTAGGTTGTTTTTTTGTTTATTATTTTTCAATTGTTGTAAAAAATTAACATCAAAATGTCTACATCCGACCAAGAAAGACAACGTCAGACTCTATTACATTTCTGGAACCAGGGTGTGAGGTCTGCCAAAGAACTTCACACTCTGACGAAGATTCCCCTTTCTACTAAATATTTTAATATTAAAAAAATTAAGGAGACAAATAATATTTTGCATAAAGGTGGTAATGGTCAGCCAAAAAAAATTACTGCAGATGTTTCACGTTCAATCGGGCAGGTTATCAGAAGAGATACCTCAATTTCCGTAAGATCATTGGTAAACAAAGTAGCAGAAAAAGGAATAGAAGTGTCTCACATGACTATTTCGAGACATTTATCTAATCATGGTTATAAGAAAAGCCTTCCGCAAGCCACCCCTATGCTAACAATGGTTCACAAGGAGAAAAGAGTTGAATGGGCAAGGAAACACTTAAATGACGACTGGTCAAAGATGTTATTCACTGATGAGACAGCCTTTCAATTGTTCAGGAACACAGTGGAACGTTGGCATAAAGGTGTGAAGCCAGTTCGTCGTATGCCAAAAGACAGAACAAAAATTTTAGCATGGGGTGGATTTTGTGTAAATGGAAAAACGAATCTTTTTTGCTTTAGTCAAATAATGGATGCAAACTTTTATGTGGATATACTTAGAAATCATATTCCAGAGGTCAATGAGATGTTGGGGGATGTTTGGCGGTTCCAACAGGACAACGATTCTAAACACACCAGTAGAATTGCCCAAGCATTTCTCAATGAAAATGTTCCTGAATTAATTGACTGGCCATCCAACAGTCCTGACCTTAACCCCATTGAAAACCTCTGGAGAATTGTTAAACGAAATGTTGAAAGAAGGATGCCAAAAAATTGTGACAAATTAAAACATTTTATGAAGGAGGAATGGGACAATATTCCAAATAATGTTTTAATTAATTTGATAAACTCAATGAAAGATCGTTGTGAATTGATTATTGAAAAAAATGGTGAAAGAATACCATATTAATTTATAATAAAATGAATCTATAAGTGATGATGTTTAAAACGTGATATCACCCGTTTGTTTTGGTTCTGTCATTGTTCTACAATATTCAATTTATTTTTTCCAATTATTTTTGTTACACACTGTACATATTTTAAATGCCTTGCCCCATATATTGTATCAACAGCCACTGCACATTTAAATAGTTTTTCACCCTTAAGCTGACTTTCATTCTCATTAAGTGAAAGAGTTTCTAAAAATTTTACAATAACTGGATTTCGTTTAAAAAACCATTGAGAAGTAGAATACTCTAACAGGTTATCTAAACTAAATCTATTCTTGTCATTAATTAAATCAATGATATCATTGTAAAAATTTTTACGCTCTTTTTTAGCAATTTCAATTACATATTCAACCCTTATTTTTTGATCATCAAATCTCTCATCTTTTAATTCTTTATTTTTAGATAATAATTCTTTATTTTCAGATAATAATGCTTTATTTTCGAATAATAATGCTTTATTTTGAGATAATAATGCTTTATTTTTGAATGATAATTCTTTATTTTCAGATAATAATTCTTTATTTTCAGATAATAATGCTTTATTTTTGAATAATAATTCTTTATTTTCAGATAATAATGCTTTATTTTCAGATAATAATGCTTTATTTTCAGATAATAATGCTTTATTTTCGAATGATAATTCTTTATTTTCAGATAATAATGCTTTATTTTCAGATAATAATGCTTTATTTTTGAATAATAATTCTTTATTTTCAGATAATAATGCTTTATTTTCAGATAATAATTCTTTATTTTGAGATTCAAGTTCATTGATTTTTTTCTTATATTCATTTATGTTGTTAATATATTCTACTTGTTGGAACTCAGAATCGATTAATTTTTTTATTTTTTCTGATTCTAATAAAATATTAGTGTTATCCTGATCTTGTTTCTCCAAGATTTTTTGTTGAATTGGATATTATTAGCCATCTTAAATTTTTTTCATTGACCTTCTTCAAAAAAACTAGAGTTATCTTCAGCTTTTAATTTCTCAAGTAATGAATCATTATTAACAATTTGATTGTAATGTCTTTCACAGATTGAATAATCATTTAAAGAATCAATCAATGAAAATAATTCAGTAAAATACTTAGCAAATAGTTTTACACGACCCTTTACTTTATCTCCTGATGCTTGTCTAAAACGTTGTTCACTTTTAATATCACATTGTTTTAACTGTTTTTCAGAGTATTTGTCAGAGAGTGTAGAAAATAAGCAAGGTAAAGTGCCAGCAAATGGTCTTGATGTTCTATTCACTGAAGTTCAAAAGAAAAAACGGAAAAATTATTTTAAAAAACCAATAAACAAACTTTTATTA